CTTATATTTATAAAGCATTCACTCACCTATCAACTTTAGAGACATTCCATTCCTAACCCGCAGGAGTTTGATATAACTTTGGTCGATGTGTTTGCAGCCGTAACAGCCTCTACTCCTCTGGGAAGGCTTTTGATCAGGTTTAGGAGCGTCTTTATACTGTAAAGATTTCAGACCGTTCTCCTAGATAAACATTAGTAATGTGAATAGACAAATTTTTAGCTCCCAGTCTCTGTCATAGTACATCCTAAAATTGTCTAGTAGCAAGGTCAGCCCTTAAAATCTTTACTCAATAACAGCAATTGTCTTTTTTTTCTTCTATAACTGGACTTTATTGATCTTACATTGGAGAAATATATCTCTGCATTTAACCTATCCCCTTGGGGAGCAGTGGGCTGCCATCATGGGGTGCCTAGGGAGCAGTGTGGGGTTAACGGTCTTGCTCAGGGACCCAGAATGGCAGTCTGTGGGAGTGGGGCTTGAACTCAGGATTCCAAGCTCTATGCCCTAACCACTAGGCCACCACTCCCCAAAAGCTTTCGAGGTGAGGTCAGGGTTCTGTAAAGGCCAATCAACCTCACCAAACACTCATCCGTCTCTTCATGGACCTTGATTTGTGTACAGCCATGTTGGAAAAGGAAAGGGCCGTCTCCAAACTGTTCAAACTAAGATGGAAGAATGGAGTTGTCTGAAATCTCTTGGTCTTTTGAAACAATCAGAGTTCCTTTCACCATAACCCAGGGGCCAAAGTCCGTCCCATTGAAACAACCAGGGAACCACCAAACTCTAGACTATCCATCTGATCACTCCATGTACCTCTGCTGCTTTGAGTTCATAAGCCACATGCTTGACACCATGATTTGACCCCTACTTGAGCTTCTGCGTGGTATTTAAACCAAAGTTGGTAATAGTATAGAAATGTGGGTTTAACTGGAAAAAAATGTAAATCTGTATAATCTAGATATTTCTCTTGAAATAGGTGCATTTGCTCATGGATTGAGGAGGTAAGAGAGACATTTTGCCAATGGAACAAGACAATTTTCAATTGCATTGTCTTATTTCAAGTGTACGTTATCTAATTATCTTATTTTAAGAGTAAAAATACTCATTCCATTGGCAAACTATCCAATTTACCTATTAAAATGAAGGGTAAATGCACGTAATTTAAGATTGTTTTGAATAATGTTTTTCCAGTGTTGTAATCAAACCAACCAACCACTGCATCCAATGCAACATCTTTATTGCAGCTGCTCAACCACAGGAAACCAATCCATGAAACTCTCTATGAAAGGTTCTTGCAGATATCGACTCTGCAGGAGGTTTGAGAATGTTTTGAATCAGCATAGCGCCATCATGAAGCTCCTAAGAGCACATTATTCTAGAAACAGCCAGCAGGTGATTATATTAACCTATGACCATGGAAGAGATTGGTAAACCAGATCCACTTTATTTAGATGGTTGAGCAACACACTGTAAATTTGTTACGCTTTTAAAAAGTATAAGTTATCATTTAATTTTCTTAAAAAATATGTGATTTAGAATGGCTTTGTCTCCATTCAAACCCGGTTTTAAAGCCTTGAAGGGCAGCCTAAAGCCCACTGCTCTCATTAAGACAGAAAAAACAAAAAAATGATAGTTCAGGTGTTTTATAAAATATATGAATCAGGAAATTGTCTATATACCAAAATTAACGATTGTTGTGCTCTACTTTAGATTTTAAAGTGGAACATTTTTCTATTTTTTTGTTTTTATTTAAAATGTCAATGTATAATGGATGCATAAAATCCTAATTTAATTTCAGTGTTAAATTATGTTTAAAGTAACAGATTATAATTAAAAATGTCTCCGAAGCTTTACTGGTTGATTTTATTTATTCAGACCCTGCTGGTTTTTAATTAGTTACTCCCTGATCTAGTGCTACAGTGGGGACAATAAGGTACACTGGAAAAAAATCGAAATCTAGATAAGTAATTTTTTTCTTAAAAAAAGTGCAATTGATCTTGGATTAAGGAGGTAAAAGAGACATTTTGCCAATGGAACAAGACAATTTACATTTAAAATAAAACACAATTGCATTGTCTTATTTCAAGTGCATATTATCTAATTATCTTATTTTAAGAGTAAAAATACTCCTTCCATTGGCGAAGTTGTCTCTTACACCGTTTTTAACCATTGTAGCTTGTGAACGCTGCAAAAAATTTAAACCAAAGTAGGTCATTTCTTTCTTACAATAAGTGCATTTTTTCTTGAATTTACCAATGGAACAAGACAGTATACATTTAAAATAAGAAAAAACAATTCCCTTATTTCAAGTGCATATTATCTAATTATCTTAATTTAAGAGTAAAAATACTCATTCCATTGGCAAAGTATCCAATTTACCTACTCAAATTACGGGTAAATACACTTAATTTAAGACATTTTCTTTTTCCAGTGTATTTAGTCAGTGACTGATTGTGCAAGTTGTCCTACTTAGAAGGATAAGAGGTCTGTAATCAATCAATGAGCTTAAAAGTCCCTTATACAGTATGACAGGTTTAACATCACTCAGATAAATGCATCAAAACAAGGATACAGTGAATAAAACATATCATTTGCAATATAAACAGATTTGCTGCCCATGAAAACAATATTGTTAAAGTTATGCTTTATTCTTGGCATTTTATTTTGATCCCAGGCAGAAAATTTGAAATAACGGAAATCCGATCCTTGCTAATTTCCACATTCTTTATTGAACCGATACAATTCACAATTTCCTCCTAACTTTTTACTCACAAGAAACTGGCTGGAAAAGTTATTTACACCAAAGAACAAAAAGCAGACGATCCCCCTCTTTATGTATGTCTGTTAGTGTAGAGAAAATCAATAGGAATAACCTCCCAAAAAAAAAAAAAACCAAACAATTATCACTTTAAGCTGTATAAAAGCTTAATGTTGCAATAGGTAGAAATCAGCAATGCAGCAGAACTCGACAGCTTTTTTCTGGCACACACGGTGTGAAGCAAAGAGTACAGGATGAGTAGAAGAGATGAGACAGAACAGACTGAGGAGTCTCAATCTAGACAACATACCAGAGAACGAAGTTGTGTGCAAAAGTAATGGAAAAAAACAAACACGAGGAGCAGAAGACACCACTCAGCCTCATAAATATCTGTACAAACAAAAAATGCTCAATCATATCCAAACAGATTCAGCACTTTCTTATCCAGTGTCAAGGCACATAGTGTTGCTAAGAAAAATAAGTCAGATATAAATTATCTTTGGTATTTGGTTTACTTTTTACAAAATTACACTGAACTACGTCAAAACCAGTTAAAACGTTGCTACCAAAGCTTCGCAATAAAATGGCTGAATTTGGGCAAATTCCCATACCCGGTTGGAACATATTAATCTTTTGGTTTAAAAAAAAAAAAAAAAAAAAAAAGCAGAATAACACCCCACAATTTCTGTTAGCCTATTGTGTTGCAACAATAACATTGTGCCACAACAGAAATTCTCCATGACTGGTCTGATAAAGTTTTAAAGTGCAAATGTTTCAGGAATCTCATGTGGAAAGACCGTCCAGCCCTGGGGATTTGGTTTACAGCGAAAAACTGGCAGGAAGATACAGATAAGCGAAACACAAGCATGTAAGACGCTCCCAATATGACATTCCAAGGAGCTGGGAATGAACTGCACCGTCAAAAATGATATTATACCTGCTCATTTGGTTCTTAGTTATCAAGTTAAAAGCCACAAAAATACAAATTAAGCTTAACTTAGACTGGAAAGAAATGTTGCCTCCTAGAGGCTCAAAATGTCACCAATATATCCCACTTGTAAGAAAAAAACCAAAAACATGAAACATGACTTTACAGCTGGTAAACAGGAGAACACCTTAAGGCCAAGAGCAGTGACTCACTGGAGGTTTTACTGGTTTTCATTAACATAGGCTTCAAGGCCCCTTTATCTTTGGACTGAAATAAAGTTGCTACAGCTTCACAGAAACTTTAAAATATGTTTCTGAAGACAATTTTAATCTGTGAAAACCTTTACTTTGCAAAGGCTGCTAACTTTAACTGTATTCTGTTTGCTGGTTGAGAGCAATTTTACAGCAAGAAAACAGTTAGCTTAGCATTAAAGGCTAGCAGTAAACCTGTTAGAAGCTCACAGCCTAGCTCTTCTAAAACCTGCTATGACTTTAGAAGAGCCAAACCCAAAGAGAAAACCCAAATAAGTATCTAGACAACAGCATATTTCTTTCTTGATATAATAAAAGGACATAAATTTGTTTTTAAATAAACACTGCTATATGGCTTTTCTTAGCTAGAGCTAGCTAGTAGCAAGGTCAGCCCTTAAAATATTTTCTCAATAACAGCAATGCTTCTTATATCTTATCAAAAAGGTACTTAAACCCCAACATCTGTGCAGTTTGAGTAAAAAAAACAACCTCAAATTAATTTGATTTTCCCTCACTTTTTATCTTGGCAATGTCTGTTTCTTTAAGTCACACAAATACTCAAATTACTGGCCTAGAGCTGATATCTTTTTTATGATTACTGGCACACTTCTGTATTAACTCCTGTTTATTTTTATCCCAAAGATGATTTTAGAAATAAAAGCCTATAATTTGGCAAATAACATCCAAAAAACTGGAAAAAAAGACTTACTAAAATAACTATTTAAATCCAAACACCACTAAAACAAACAACTGTGGGGTTTTTAACAATAGAGGCCCGATTATTATTTTCCTTTAACTGAAATTAGCTGTCAGTGCAGAGAAATCCACTGAGTCAGCAAAACGACATGTCATTTCAATTAGTCTTATTTAAGGTGGTTTGATCCACCTTCCTTTTATGTGGCTAACTACAGCACCATGACCAATGGCAGCCAGGAAATCTGATTGGTTTCTTTTTAAAACATTTGGTGCGATTGTGTGAAAATGACTTCAGATTTAAAACTGTCCAGTTGTTGGAAGACACAAACGTTCAGCAGCATTCCTGATAAATAAATGTAGCACTTTTATAGGTTATAGATTAACAACCTCCAGTTTTTCTGGGCTTTGACCATGAGACGACCAAAAATTGTTTTCTCTAGCCACGGGCTGCTTGATAAGAAGCTTAAAATATTTCGCCAAATATCTTGCCCCCAGTTAGAAAACTGATGAAAAGACTGGGATCCTAGGATCATCAAGTCTCCATAACAACCATTCAAAGCGATCTCCATGCCGCCAAGATGTTTGTAAGTCCTAACATAACAAATGTAAAAATGGCATTAGCTAATATCTACTGGAATGAGTAGAGGAAGTGTGTATTTTACTCAAATGAGACTGAAATCAGAAAATAAATTTGCCAAAGCAATTTAGATTCCTTGCAAACAAAGAGGGAGGATCTGTGATGCTGTGGGCCTGTTTCTCTTCCTTAAAAACAGTTAAAGTGCGAGGCATCATGGACTCTGGAAGGTTTCTAAATAAAGACGGTCGGGGTAAACCAATGAACAGAAATAAGGGGGAAATTTGAATTTTGAAAGTAAAAAGTGGAAATTATTCCCACTTAATGAAAGTCTTAAATCTAAAAGTGTGCATAAAAAGGTTATTGTGCAGTTAAGGCTTTAAGGCTTCTTAATCCTGTTTTGAAAACTGTTGTTTACCCTTAAACCAGGGTCTCAGCATTTAAAAATAAACGTGAAATTAAAACGATTTGCACTGTTGAACTGTGGACACAGACTGAAATCAACGATCTGTTTATCAGTTACTGCAGCGCAAATACGTTGTCAAAATTGTACTGAAAAAAAGCTGAGCTCACTGATCACACCCAGTCATAGTCAGATTGGGTATAAAAGCAGCAGAGGATCTAAGAGGATTTTCCTTGGTAGTCATTCCAGCAAGGATTCAAGGTCACTGTGGTGTCTGTTCCAGGTTTTAATGCCCCTACAGGCTGAGCTGACAGGAAACGACCTCCCAAACAACTCAGCAGTGTAATGTCTTCATTCTCTCCCTGTGCGAAGTCACCTGATCAATAATGAGATGCATATCTGTTAAGACCTAAAAGCGTCTCAGGAGGAAAACTAAAAACTTTCAGATTTTCCAGTTCAAATCTATGAAGTAAATGACTTATCTGAACACAGAAAAGTACCTTATGCATAAAGAGGAAAATACCAAAGAAATAAAAAAAAAGAAAACAATTAAAATGATTAAAAAAAGAAATATTGTGCAAATTGAGTATTAGTAGCATACAACCCCTGGCAATATGAAGAAACTATTCTTTCTGATGTTTTTTGGTTTTTACTTGAAGCAATAGGGGAAATGTAAATTATACCACTTTTTTTTTAAGATCAAGCAGAGGAAGCACTGTAAGTGTTAACAGGCTGTGCTGACAACAGCACTTATTGCTGTAGAGGATTTACTGAGAAAGGAGGACTCAAAGTGTCAGCTTCTGAGCAAATCAGGCTGTGGGAGAGTGCAGCTAACAGGAAGGCTAACACCACTTTAATTTTTTATTTTTAAATCTGTTGGACTTTCTGGATTTGAAAATGTTTACAGCTCTACAAAGATGAAATAAAGCTGAGAATAAAGATACAAATAGAAACGGACAGTGTTGTAATATTAATACTGGTCATGCTAACGTCAACCATATTAGCCAAAATGCTACTTTTTAAATTGCAATAAAATAATATTCTGTCTTCGTTTTAAAATAAGACATGTAATAAAATTCCATGTTATGACAACAGGTTTTCCCGACAGATGACATGTTGTTGCTTCTTCTCTTATAAATATTAATGAATAATAATTAGTAATAAAAACGCCTTATCAGGGAAGGAAGGCTAGAAAAATATCTATTTCTTTTTATCACAGATTTTTAAAGAGAAATTAGAGGTGATAAAAATTGACTTAGGTCAATGTCTCAAAAAATATTTAAAAATGAAATATCGAAGAGCAGAAATCCAATTTAAAGGTGAATAAAAAGGTCTTCAAAGCTGATTAGTCCAACTCTACAATAAACTATTAAAGCGATAAAATAAGCACTGGAGGGGGGTTTTGTAGTTGTTTGTGGCTCTAATCAGGTGTTTTATAGTGTTTCCTCTACTTGACCCTAAAAAAAGAGTCATTAAACACAACAGCAATACAAAACAATAAATGTTTATGTATTTCAGAGAATGTTTAGCTGCTAAATGTTTTAATGTTAGATGGTAAAACTACTGACTCTACTTAAAGACAAGCTGCATCATAGTTTTTGCCAGAGGTTGCACTGTGAGACATCATAAGGCAGTGTGTAGACCCGGTTCTGCCGCCTGCAGGGTTCTTTGTGCTGGCTGAACCCTCTGGTCGGAGCAGAGTTCTCCTTCTGAGCTCCTTGTGTATTTAACAGACTGTGAGGCTCTGTCAGCGGGCAGGTTCAGGTGGATGCTGTCGGCCCGTGAGACCAGAGGTGTGGAAGTGATCCTGCTGGACAGACTCTGGTCGGATGGCTGTAAAGTCTCATCCAGACAATCTTTGCTGGACCTGCAGGACAGCTGAGGACTGTTTCTGCTGTATGAAGGAATGTTTGGTTCTGAAGGGGCTTGTGGGTGGAGGTCTGTGGGGTGTTTCTCACAGCGTGAAGACACCAACGGGCTTTTTTGACCCTTTTCTTTATTAGTTTGTAACACAGAACCCTGTTTTTCCTTTGATGCGCTCTTCTGGCAATCTTTGGGCTTGTTGAGCGACAGGAAGTGGGGCTCAGGGCTCAGCGGTGATCCCATCTTGACCCTGCTCAGACTGAGGATGTTCCTGCGGGTGTCGGACGGGAGCTTATCTAACTGCCTTCCAGCTTGCACCGGGCTGGGAAACAGCGTGCCTTGACACGCCCTGTAGAAATATCTGGAACAGAAAATAAAGCCAGACATCAGGACATACTTCAGCGCTACTCCCAACGATTAATGTCAGGCTCCTGGAGCAAACAAGACCATCTGGTGTCAATAAAATAAATATTTTTTTCAAAACACAGATAATAAATATTTTAGAGACCACATGCTTTAACTTATCTGCAAATAAGCAAAACGTACCGAGGCAGCAGCGCGGTCACAGGTGTGATGGTGCATAGCAGGTAGAAGAGAGGGTCCTGCAGCAGCCTCTGCATGGTCCAGTAGGGGTTAGAGGGGGAGTAGCAGGTGGGACAGGAGGCATTGTAGCACAGAGCAGCGGTGAAGAACAAGGCGACACTGAAGGCTATCGACAGCCAGTTCATCCAGGTCTGCAGAGGAAGTTTACAAAAACAAAACAATTGCTCATCTAATGGGAATCAATACAGCACAATTTAAAACAAGTTAGAGGGGGAGATAGAGCACGAAGGATGGATTCATACGAGAAAAAAGGGACGACCGGATTAAAACCAGACATGTTTCCCACTGGTACCTACCTTTTCCGGTAGGTTAATGTAATTGTGTTTTCCTTAATGTAGTTGCGCTTTGCTTTATGTAGTTGCGATTTCCTTAATGTAGTTGCGCTTTTAGATTTGTAGTTGCTATTTGCACTTCAGGGCCACCGTAGAGAGGCATGGTTGTGTATGTTCAAAAATATAGCTTGTTGGAACCTTTAAATCTGCAGCAAGGAAAGGTTCAAAATGTGTGGTGGGTTGTTTACTCTCACTGTTTCAAATAAAACTGCTTGTGTTAGTATTTATCACAATTGTGCACAAAATTCTGACTTCATATGCCATGATGCTTTCTTTCAAGTCAAAATTAGTTTTATTAATAAAACAGCTATTTCTATCATTTGTCAAACAGGTTGGTGTCACAGAAAAAAGCAGCATTTGTTGAAGTTTTGCTCAAATATTTCATAATTCTAGCAATGTTTGTGATGTGGTGTGTAGTTTGGGGTGTCGAAGGAGACAGACTCAAATAAACATGTCTCCAAATATGATTTCTTTTTGTATAAAAAAATTTATTTAAAAAATTGTAATCAGTTTCCACTGCATATCTTACTGAAAGACTGTCGTTTCTGTCTGTGTTTTTGGAGTATAACTTTGGACCTTTTTTGTTTAAATAGTTTATCCAACTTTTTTCACATTTTGAACTGCAAAATCAGAGCTGAAGCCCACTGAAAACCTTAAATTCACTATATGCAGCACATGGTGGGTGGACACACACGCCCTCAGAGCTGCAGCAAAGCACACTGGCTGATCCGACAGCATGTGATTACAATGGGTCATTAAATTGGATTCCAGGCATTAATTACAGGCTCATAGCTACTGAATGGAGGAAGTGAAAAGTGTTCTCGCTGCTGTCACTTAAAATACCAAGTGAGGGGCTTGGAAGCAAAAACTGTCTGAAATGCATCCAAGAAAATACAATTAAAAAAAGGGGGGGGTGAAAGCAGGCTTTGGAGAGGGCCAATCAGCAGAGAAACAAAGAATTTTGGGGGCTATTGAATGAATTTTCTGATTGAGTGTTCACACAAAGCAGGATTGCTAATGAAGCTGCAGAAACTATCAGAGTTTAAAGCAGGAGGCTTACCCAGGTTTTGGTCTCAATCCCTAAATGCACCAGGATGGTGAATAAAGCTATAGCTGTGATGGGAGTCCCCCATGTAAACAGATCCACGTCTGAGTCAGCGTAGGCCTGAGGGGCGGTTAGCAGGAGATCAGGGTGGAGACAGAGGGAACCACGAGTAAGAAACAGCACCCAACACAAAACAAAACTTAAAATAAAAACAGAGACAAGCTGAAGGAGATCAAATTGTGACTCACAAAGTAAGGAATGAAGAAGCACACCAGGCTCTGGTAAAAGGCGTCGATCATGTTCATCCAGAACATGTATGGCTTATATTCCTGCAAAATAGATATAACAACTCCCAGTTAAACAGCTCACCTTTAAAGCTAAAGCAATATTTTCATTGTTTCTTTTAATGTCCTCTAATGAATTTGTCTATCTAATCCATTACGGTTTCAAACAGTAGAAAAAATATCAATGATAGAGATGTTAGCTGTAGTTCTACTCTAACTTTCTCCGAATTGCTGGCAGCAAAAATTGAATCCAAACCAGACTGCAATCAAAGAATAAGTATCAGTTGAACATGCAATTCGTAAAACTCAATCTGTGAAATAAAATAGTATCTAGTTTAGGCATCAGCAAACTTCACGACCTTGAGAGCCATTCTTCAACCTTGGTGCCAGTAAACAAAACTGGGTTAGAGTCATTACAAAAAAAGTAAAAAAAATGATCCACTGGATTTTGTTTCCAACTTTGAAGACATTTCGCTTCTCAAAAGCTTCTTGGATGGTAAGCGAAACGTCTTCAGACATGGAAACAAAGTCCAGTGGATTGTTTTTTAATTTTTTTTTTTTTTTTTGGAATGATTATGACCTTGATAACTGAGAATCTTCATCAGCAAAGTTTAAAGTCACAAAAGTAACATTTAACAAACTAGCATTTGTTGGTTTCCTTTTTTAAAGATATATCTTATAGAAAATGTGTTTTTATGTTCAACTAAAAGTACAGCAAGTAAATTTTTTGGTATTAGGTTCCAACATAAAGAAAACCATAAACAATGTGTAAAAGGAAATTAAAAAAAAAATGTTTGCAACAAAAACATTACCCTAAAATTACACATTTAAAAAAACAATAGTCCTTACATTATTTGTGCCATTGTTTGGTGATGTATTTAATTAAAAAAAGACAAGGAAAAAAGATAAAAAAGCAAAATGTCTTTTTAACCACTTATTGGCTAAAGTTAAGGTCTGACATGGGGCTTCATAGCTGCTGGATTCGGACCCCTGCTCTACTTTATAACTGTTAATTAAGAAACTTCTTTCCTTATTGTTGGGATTTCCAACTCAAAGTGTTGCTATGAAGCCTTTCCCTCATTCAAGCTTTTCCATCATAATGTGCTTCATTTATTACATCTACAACATCTTATACAGTCCACCTTTTAAAACCCTTCAAAAATGTCTACAATCTAAAATTGCTTAATAAGAAGACGTAATCAACTTATGCCAGTTAATGTAAGATACATAAAATGTATTTAAGTTGTAGTCAGGTACTTGCCAAAGAGCCGATGCTTGTTGGACAGATAAAAGCCATTTTCTTAGGTCTGTGAAATTTTTTTCTTGTACTTTTTCTAGAAAATGGTTGTAGAATTTTAGAAGCACAATAATGAGCAGAAATATACATAAGACAGTGCTAAAAATGTAATAAGTGGAAACTAAATATAGAGAATACAAAGAAAGAATTTTCTTCAAAAAAAAAAAAAAAAGTAGTACGACTCGGAGCGGTGATAGTCTGGATTAAAAAAACTCAAATCTATGGGTCTATGTCTCTAAGAATCACACTTTTAGTTATATCCAATAATGATAACCGGGTTAATTGCTAACAAAGATGTTTAAAGGAAGCTTATAGAAACATTTTAACCATTTGTCTTAAATAAATGCCGTTTCTTTCGCCTCCAAAAATCATTCAACTGAATGCTACGCTGCTGGGATGTTAAAGTAGAACAATGCATGAACATCGGATACAACAAACTGAAAGGAATTTAAGAAAATATGTGAAAAATTGTGGTTTATAAACAGTTAGAGAGCTCTTAGTGAGATATAATGTCAGAACGGACCTCTGAGTTCTGGCCATTCACGTAGAGCTGAGGTAGTTGCTGGAGCGTCTCTTCTGACACGTCCTTGTCCAGAGTGCCGGTGATAAGTTGAGGAAAGGCAGAGAACATCAGGTTGAAGAAGATGAGATACCACTGGTCGATCATAGCCGAGCCAGAGAAGCCGCAGTAGAACTGATACCAGAAGACGATCGCCACAAACATCTGCAGGACAAACACCAAAACAAAACAAAACAAAGGGAGGAACTGATGTGAGGAACTTTTACAATGGGTTTTTAATTCAAATGTGCAGCAGTTAAATGGGCTCACAGCGTTCTTGTAGAAGAAATACAGGATCATGTTTGCCAGTCGGGAATAGCACCAGTGTCCGTGCACCAGCAGGAGCTTCTGCAGATAGCGGAAACGTGGGAGAGCAAAGTCGCTCGCCATCACTGCCTGAAAAAACAACCAGAGGTGACCCCGATTCAGCATCATCCTCCTCCAGTCGTCATCATCTCTAGTCCCACGCCACTAAACCGCCTCTGTTTAATCAATCTGTAATTGGTGTAATCTTTCCAAGGCCATAAAACATAAACGGATTGTGTACCAACTGGGATTGGCTACTGTAGCAGGACAATATTGTCAGCCTCATTCATCAACCTTCCCTGAAGACGGCCTTCCGATAGGGATTCTGCTAACTCCTCATTAAAAATAAAACCATCAAAATTCTCAACACCAGAAACCCTGTTTACATTGTGTTCAGCTCTTATAAAAGCCTCCTAACAACTAGTCAGACAAATCAGCCTAATAATAATAAAAAACAAAAACGCAGTCCTAAAATAGAGAGTATTTTCAGAGTAACCAAGCTAAATCAGGAGTCACACAAGAGGTAAACAGTCTACCTGTGAGTTAATAATTTTCATTGAAATTATTCTCTGCTTTGAAAAGCTAAACATTTTTTTTGTTAGAGAACATTGTAGAAAAAAAAAACATAGTAAAGAAAAAGGAAGGCAGCAGCTGGTCAGTTACAAATATCTGGAAGTACACTTGCACCTTAATCATATTTATCTTGATATACTGTATATACCTGGATATACTGTATATATATTGCTTATTCATAATGCAACTTTTTCCTCCCTGTTTGCACCTTCTGTAACTTCTGCCAATATGTGACGAGTGAATTTCTCCGCTGTGAGATCAATAAAGCTCATCTAATCTAATCTAAGATTCAAGGTATCAGGTTGAAAAAATTTTATCCCGATTTTTGATCTTAGTTTACGCTGTATCCGGCTCTGCAAACAAATACCTAACCTTTATAATCAATTAGTGAATTTACACAACCTCCGCACGACAGCAGAGAGCGGACAGCAAAAAAAAAAAAGAAAAAAAAAAAAGAAACTTGTTGCCAAAAGCTAGAGCAAGTCAATATACAGAAATCGCAGTGGATTTTCAAAAGAATTCACTAAAGATGGATCAAATTTTATTACAGTCCTTTTGTTAAATCAACACATTTGTGAATATATTTACATTTGTGTGTAGGTATTAGCAATTACACACATTCAGAACAGGAAAAAAGCTCAGTATGAAGCAGCCTGAGGCTGAGATCTCTGCAGGAAGTTATCTGGGAATCTCCATTGGCCAACTCATCTGAAACTGGATATTTTACAAAACCAGACAGGAAGGACATATCCACAGCACAGGCATAACTTTATGAAGGACTTCTGTGGACATGTCACTGACAATAATCTCTGCTTTTTTTCCCCCTTTCCGCTCATTTTCTTTAACCAAAGGTAACAGAGGTTGGGTGCAGCTATCTGTGCTGAGAGCGTTTTTCAGTCGGTGGATCTATTGCTTTGAGAGATCTACTTCGATGTTTAGGTAAAAGATAGACTGTTTGGTTAAAATAATTAGAGATCATACCACTGAAAAATCAGTTTGTTAGATATGCAGAATTTTTTCAGTTAAAAATGGCAACAGATTGTAAATTTATACAAGTTAGTATTATAATGCAAGAAGGTTGAGAAAACATAGTTTGTTCTTCTTTATTAGTTAAAAAATCTTGGCTTCTCAGAGCACCATGACTCCCAGTTACAGGTTTAAAATTAACAAGTTTTCTTGTTGTACAGATGGAATCGGGCTGCAGAGCTTCTACATATCTTGAAATGTAGTTTCTGGCATCATCATATTAGTAAAGAGGTTCATAAATCTTTTTAAAAAGAGAAATAGGAAGAGCTGCAGATTTAAAGGTAGAACAGATTTACTGAGATATTCAACATGCAATAAAATATATCTCCAAGTTTACCAGAAAGTTTACAAGAAATAAATATGCTATGCTATATTTAAAATGCAGCATATCCATATTTTTTCTGGATGATTGAATTGAAATTGTATTTCTAGGGAAGCATGATATATCGATTTTGGCATTGGAATCGGCAGTTAATCGTTATGAAAGTGTTCGGGTTGAGTAACTGTAGGCCCATCACCTACCACCCGAGTGTCCCCACCCACTTTAATCAGAAAGTTACACCCTTGATCCACAGATTTATAGCAGATTCCAAAGATATTCAGAGACCTTATATGTGAAACGGACACAGAAGAGCTCAAACTGTGCTGCTTCTCTCTGCTCAGTCTCCTGACTCGGCACAACATAAGCCGATCTATTTATAGCCCTTTGACTTAACCTTAACTTAACTTGGGAAAACACAACAAAAACAACAACAACAAAAAAAACGAATAAAATATAGAAAGAAAAATATTTTCCTCCACATTCATGTCTCTATCCCAGGATCTCCATCTGCTGCTTACTGAGTTCACCCTTACCTGCATGCCCTCCTGCCCAGATATCCCCACGCCGACGTCCGCTACCTGGATCATGCTGACATCATTAGCTCCGTCACCTGTGATTAATGAGGTAGGGGGAAAGACACAAAACAGTCCCTCAGAGCAAGAAAGATGCAGAAATGATAATTAGTCAGATGGGAGATGCTGAGAGCCTGGAGGCATTAAAATGTTGTGTCATCACATAAGATGGTCAAGCTTACAAAGAAAGATAGACCTCGTCAAACAATAGATTAGATTAATGATGGCGCTCCTTTTTTGCAGTCTAGTGCTGAATATCAGTTTCTTTTGTGTTCTCGTGTTGAAAAGCAGAACCAGAGGTGACCTAACAAGCTCTTCTTGGTATTGGAAAACAAATAACTAAGCAAACAGTCATTTATTGCATGTTTGTATATCTGAAAAAGGCAATTCGTGTTTATATAGTAAATAAACTGCATGATGCTGCTGCTTCTTATTCCTTAAGAGGTCTTTTCTTATATCTTCTTGGTTTTTAAAAATATATATTATCAGGCTAAAGCTTCATAAAGAAGCATGACAACAGTGAAGAAACTTCAAAATAAACAAAAGTGATTTTTATAACAGATTACTATGAGGAACAGAGTAGAGATAGACCACTGCTTTAGGCCATCGTTAGTATTTTTTTTTACCTTGGTTTAGCTTCTACGTTCAATTGCATAGATTCATCACTGCATTAAGGAGCCTTGCTTTGAGTTCATGTGAGGATATTCAATGCTGCTCCCTCCATCTGCCATCCATTGTTAATGTTTTATTTGTTATTGTCTAATTTTTAACATCTAAACAAGGGAAAAAAGCTATATAGATTCTAAGAATCAGTCCCAAAATATCAGCAGCACACATCGGGGGATGGTTAGACTAATGTCCAAATTATCTGGCTTAAAATGCCAATATTAGTTGTTCTCTAGAAAAGAGGAACATCATTAACAATCAGAGCAAGATGCCAGTCTGTCCAATCAAAGCCCTTCCAGCAAGAATTAAGAACCTGGATCCATCCAGTTATAGAGGTGACAACTATTCTGAGTAGGAGTCAAGGACATTTGGAAATAATTCATTTGTAGCATCATTTTTATTAATGCAATGATACAAATTATGATTAACATTTGTTTTTTTTATCATCACTTTTCCATCTCCACTGTATCCTCCAGTGCTATTCCTTTAATTTTGGCAACTTTGTCATTAAAATCCATCTTTACGCATCTGCATAAAGGACTGAGATAATTCATCTGACTGTTGGCAAGCTGACTATCAAATGGAGGATCTGAGATTTTACAGCCAACCAAATATTGATTCCTGTAGGCCTTTCATTTGAAATTACAGTCTTACAAATATTCAAAATACTTTTCTAATCAACAAACTCGCACTAAGGTAAGGCATCAGAGTAGATTTTTAAAAATATGGCTTCCAGCTTCTTTACAGGCAGAAAAAAAAAGTTAGAAGTTTATTTCAGGTTTCTAAGGCTACGTTCACACAGCAGCCTGAAGTGACCCAAATCTGATGTTTCTGCTCATATGCGACTTGTATCTGATCTTTTCATGGCTGTCTGAATAACACAGATCCAATTTTTTCCAGTGCAACCCAGGCCACTAGGTTATGTGGTCCTGAATCCGATACGAATCTGATCTTTTCAAATGCGACTTGTGTGCAAAGGTGTCAAGTACAAATACTTTGTTACTGAACTGAACTTTGTTACTGAAAAGTACACTTTTTAGGGATCTATACTTTACTCCATTACTTATTTTTCTCCTGACTTCTTCTCATTACATTTTCACTCAAGTATCTGTACATATCATTCCTTACATTTAAAAAAAAAACCTTACTCGTTACTCTTTGGTTCGGTTTAATGTTTATAAATATTTATTTCACGTCATGTGCGCCATCCAATGCAGATCATTGGCGCCACCCACATCTAGTGAAAACTAGTGTGATTGGATGAGTCATATAACGCAAACACTCATTGGTTAGCTAAAGGAAATCATCAGAAAAAAAGCAGGAGGTCTCAAACAATTTTTCCAAAAGTCAAAAAATTTAGCTTTCAATCCATATAGTGGCATCTGGCTGTTTTTTTTTTTAAAGCTTACTTTATACTTTTATACTTTAAGTAGTTTTTGGAGCACATACTTTTTCACTTTTACTTGATTAAAGAGGTCAAGCTGATACTTCAACTTTTACCAGAGTGTTATAGATAGTGCAGTATCTATACTTCCACTTAAGTAACAAATGTGTGTACTTTTGACACCACTGCTTGTGTGTGAACGTTCAGGTCACATTTATCCAACCTAAACATCATTAATACACAACAAAGGTCACTATTCTGTGTCTTGCTATGCAGAAGTGGGAAAAAAAAAAAAACAACCATGGCGGATGATAATGCAAAGAGCAGTCTTTTTTTTTTTTTTTGAAACCATCTTGAAAAGATTGAGTTTTTAAGGTTGGGAAAGATTGCTAGACGAGCTCCAGCGCTACCGTCCATGTTTACTTCCCTAAACAAAGAGCAGGCTTGCTTGTGATTTTATTGCGTTCTCTACTGCGCATGCGGGACACTTAGGTTGTATGACTGCAATTCATGCAGGAGATTACATACAAGTCGCAAATACTTGGAAGTGTGAAGGCAATGCAAAAATAATAATAAAAAAAAAATAATAAAAAATCGGATTTTACACAAAAAAAAAATCAGAATTTAGCATTAAGGCCTGCAGTGTGAAGGCAGCCTTTTATTAATCAGACGGATTTGATATCAAAACCAATTAATTTTGTATACTTAGTATGAAAATGGCAGTTTAATTTGGATATACATATATATATTATCACACAATAAAACATTTTTTTTTTATATTTATATTACCGTAATTTCACGACTATAAGGCGCATATAAACGTCTTTTTTTCCCCTCAAAATGTGCGGTGCGCCCTATGGTGCGGTGCGCCCTATGGTGCGGTGCGCCCTATATGTGTTGTTACTGCGGACTTTTGAGACCACCTCACTGAGGAGATGATGAAAGAGTGGCTGAATGTAAGGAGACCAGCTGTTTTCTTTTCCACTCATCACCATCGCTGTTAATATGCAACTCCATGCGTGCCCATCTCACAGCTGATGTGAAAAACATGGTGAATCAAATGAACGCTGTGCTTGCAGTTATTCAACCGCTTAACATTGGTGTGAACCGGACACAGCA